TGTGACTGGGGTAATCGCGATGGGAGTGTCAGAGGCAGTGCGGTTGGCGCAGGATAGAGCAGTGGTTTAGGGCTGTTGTACATAGGGTCGCTATGAGTCGCAAACGACTCGACGGCACATAACAACAAACAACAACGACCTCTGGGATTGTAGTGCAGCATCTTGGCACTAGGCCACCAGAGCTCCCTATGGCTGGGGTTTTGGACAGATGCTCATGTGATAGACAAGGCAGGACTCGGGTTTCCTGGAATTAACCAGAGAGAGCCGATTGAGAGTGTCCCTTTAAGTTTCCTTTTTCTGTGTCATCTCTAGTCCAATGTGAGCATGTTGGTAGTAACCCGCAGTGAGTTTTCTTCTATTCTGGGACCTTTGTAATTACTGTTGGAACTCTTGATATAATCCAGATGTCACCTGGATTTCCATGGCTCTAGAAGAAGATCCCCTGCAGGTCTCCTGCCCCTGTGTGCTTCTCCCAGGGCCCATCTGCCAAGACTGTCCCTTCTGGATAATTCTAAGCATCTGTAGTTCAAACAGCTGATTCCGAGAGAGTGGCTGCCTCTCCAGTGGACCAGGTGTTAAAGAGCCACCTGTGCTGTTCGCTTGTTGTGCAGGAGCACAGGAGGCCTCAGTGACATGAGATGATGCCACAGTCTCAGCGACTTCTGTGGACACGCTCTTCTTCCTCCTGCTGACCATGCCCGGGCGCAGTCCTCGTCCAGTGCGCTGCTGATACTCATCACTCTTGTGCTCAGAAAACAGCAGTGGGCTCTGCTCCACTGGGTCCACCCTTGTGAAGAAAATGTGATTTGAAACAGCCCCCAGAGTCCCTCACTGCAGTCTTGGGTGCTCCTCCCCCCATTCCTGGTCAGGAGGCCCCCAGACACCATTTCTCCAGGAATGGAGTCACTTTGTCTGGTGGTGAGCATGTGGTCAGATTTTGCGCCACACTTGGGTGCCTCCAAGAGTTCTAACTAAAAAGGAGACGCTGACAGAGCACACGAGGGGCAGATGGGAGAATGGCTCTGGTGGCCTCATAGCAAGAAGCTGCTCTGCAATCCCAGAAGTACACAGTTTGAATCCACCAATGCTCTGCTGGAGAAGGAGGGACAGTCTCCTCCTGTACCAGTTAGATCTGATTCGATTGTACACCCATGGAAAATAATAAATTTTTTTTAAAAAAAAGAAGTGTAGTACCTTTTCCCAATCACCCAGCAGGCAGTGGGGGTAGGGTGCTACAAGGAGTCTAGCAGGTCAGTGCCTGTGTGGAGGCTGCATGGGAAGGAAGCACATTCCCAGGTTTTCTTTGGAGCCAGTGGGTCAGACCTGTTGAGCACGTTGGCAAGCCAGACACGCGAGGGTGGGAGGAAGGGGCTTGGGCTTGCGGCCCACGGAGGATCCTGACCATGTTTGAACTGGTGAGACGCCCAGCAAGCGCTCTTCTGAAGGCTAGGTGTCATATTTCCCAGAGACCAGGTGTCCACACCTGATGCTCTCAATACTGGAGACAGAAAAATACGTGAGGTAAGAAATAGAAGAGGCTTCATGAGAGAGCAGCTGTGGCGTCTTGTGAGTAGAGGCTGCTCAGTGCCAGGGTCTGATTCTGACCTGGACCATGCGGCCCCTGTCAGAGGGCGTGGCGTGCTTCTGACGCAGCCACAGTTTGATGATATACAGGTTACACTTAGCCAAGTGTGAGTTCACGCTGTTTTGGGGGGTTTCGTTCTCTGTAAAGAGTCTGTAAACTAGAATCTCCTGTTTGAAGGACCTCAGCGTCAAGTATGTCCAGGAGTTGAGACTGTCCCGAGTTGTACTGCTGTTGTCTGACTTGCTGAAGTCATTGCTGGTCAAGAGCTTCTGGAATGTTTAACTCATTTTCTTCAATCTCCGCAGAGAAAACGTCGGGGTGGAACAGTCAATTCCAGACAAGGCCAGAAGCGAACCCGGTTAGTGCCCTCCCCACCCGAGATGGCCGTGGAGGCGGAGCCCATTGAGCTTCTGGAAAGCAGTAAGTGGGCAGCACACCTGTGGTCGGGGTGTCTGGACACAGCAAGAGGGTGATCATAGTGCAAGCTCACCAGAAATGGACGCTGCTCAAGCCTGCTGTGTGGGGTTGTCAGGGACAGAGTAGGTTAGTAACGAGGGGACTGAGTACCATGCTGGGCGGGCAGCACTTCCGGGACAGGCTCAGCCAGGCAGAGCTCTGACTGATGTCTTCAGGAGAACTCCAGGATCTATAGCCAGGCATTTTCTCCTGTCACACCTTGAGACCTTGAGTAGGAACACTGTCTTCTCTGTCTTTGGTGTACATTGAGACTCCCTCAGGCTGCCCTGGTGGTCTGCTTGTGGGAAGATTGAGACCAAGGCTGTGGTCAGTGGTGGCCAAGATTCGAGTCAGCATTTACCTGGTGACAGTAGATGTGATTTTGGGTTTTTAAGATCCTGCTCGGTTTGGAGGTGGCCATTCAGTCCACTGGGCACCTGTGTGGAGGGTGCTCACAGTGCCCTCTCAGTCACCTCTGCCTTTCCAAGGGGTGTGAGGCTTCGCTGTGGGGGACTGTCACCCCAGGGGTGCACCTGCAAACTGTTCCCACTCAGGGATGAGGCCTGCAGTGCTCTGCTGACCTTCCCCGAGGACAGGGTTGACCTTCGTTCTCTCTGCTCAGTGCTTCAGGGTTCTTTGTTGTCGTTAGGAGGGTGTTGACCCATAAACCCCGTGAACAGCGGAGCGAAGCCTGGCCCACTGCATCCGCGCTGATGTCACCCGGCTCGAACCTCTTGTGGTCACTGTGTGTCCATCACATTGAGGGCCAGGTTTTTAGTTTGTATAAACGTGCACTACTTTTGTTTGATTCTTTAATTAAAAAAAACATTGGTCAGAACATGGACACAGCTTTTGCCTTTAAATGCGGTGACTTTGCTCACGTCCTCAAGCTGTGCTATCGATGTTCTGTCATCCCGAACTGTCGTCATGTGAATGTCCCTCCCAGATGCCATCCCGATGAGCCACTGCTGGTCTTCCACTGGGTATTGGCCTCTTTGACATGTAGTGTGACCATTTGTGACTGGTTTGGTCAGCATGATGTCTTTGGGTTCACCCTGTGCTGTTGATGTATTTTTCTTTCCTCCTGATGCTTCTGAAATGTTTTCTTTTGAAGCTGGAGATGAAATTGTGGACCTCACCTGTGAGTCCTTGGAACCCGTGGTCGTTGACCTGACTCACAACGACTCTGTTGTGGTAAGTGCAAGGTGGGGAGAGTGGGCTGGTCCTTGATGTAGAGCACTGGCCATTGTCTAAGCTTGTTCTCCATGACCAGAAGGCAAAACGGGCAGTCTCTGGAAGATGGATTATGGTAGCTTATAGATAGCAGGACCTTGTGACCAGGCCTTTGCACAGCTGAACACTGAGGTGCTTTAGAGCGAGCTCCACCCTCCATGCACATGAGCTGTGGGCCCTCGGGCCTGGGGTTCAGCCTCTAAGGGAGCAAGGCCCGCTGTGGTTATGGGGATGATGGGGATCAGACGACACCCTGGTGAAGTGGGACCCTTCTGTCCTGGCAGAGGGACAGGCCACTTGCTCAGCACTGCCTCTGGGAAGCCGCTGCAGTCGCTGTGGCGCTTGGGACACAGGTGTCCTGCATTGTCACCTGGTGCTCTGGTCCTGTGACCCCGGGGAGAACAGAGCCTGTACTAGCTGCTTTGGCCTTTATGTGAAACCAGTCATGGGCAGGGCAGTGGCCCTGTGTGCTGGGAGCTGGTCACACAGGACAGGAGTGGGGGCTGGCTTTCAGCTGTTGTGACCTCACTCACTTGCTGCTGTCACATTGCTTCTGACTCTGAGTGACTCTGTAAAAAGAGCCGTGGTAACATAAGCAGCAACAACCGCTCGGAAAAGGCCGAGTCTCACATCCTCCGGTTTCCTAACGTGCAACTGTCCCCTCAGTAACGTCCGATAATTCTAGTCTTTGGTCAGACAGGGTTGTCTGCTCTGCTCTTCCTCTGTCCGTTAATCACTGGGTCCAGTGTTGTTGAGAATGTTGTGTGGCTTACTAGGGGAACAGGGTGTGAGGGGCGAGGAAGAGCAAAGGCTATCACCCTAAAAGTCGAGCAGCACAGATGCAAGAGGCCTCTGGTTTCCTCAGTCGTCCAGCAAGCTTTGTCCCCTAGCAGTCCCAAGTCAGCTTCAGTCCAGCAAGCAGAACCTGGACTTCTGGCTCTGTCTCCAGCACTCCCTAAAGCTGTGCCTCGCTGCGGCCTCTCAGCCTCTTGATGCGCTCTCCTGTGTCAGCCTCTCATCTATTGATGTTGTAGAAGACACTCGTCAACTGCACACCACATGTCTGCTTGAGGGAACTGGACACCCTGTGCCCAGGTGGGGCTCAGCCAATGGATAGAAAAGCCACTTTTTCTTGTAGCTTAAGTGCTGCTGAAGCAGGCACTGGAAACCATTCTCAGAAGTTCTAAAGCCACACTCTTCATTGAGATTCCAAGGCTGTAACAGTGAGAAGACGGCCCGTGTTTTTTTTCTGTGAAGCCACTAGTGGGTCTACACTACACATAGCGTCTAACAGTGGACTCTGACACCAGAGTGCATCTTGTTGACCTTGACTTTCGTGGTGCATAGCGCAGTGGCACGTGTTCTGCTGTGAAGGAAGTGTGAGCAGGCTTTGCTGCGGGGGTGTAGTGCCCAGGGTTCAGGGGCAACTTGTGGGCTATCGCTCCCTATTGTGTTTAGGACTTAGACTAGGGCTCCGCTGAGAAGCCCCTCCGTCCAACCACGGAAGGAAAGGGGACGGGCAGACATTTTAGCATCTTTGTCTGGTGGGAAGCCATTGAGTTGTCCCGTCTAGACCTCAGAGAGAAGGCTGCTGTCCATGCTGAGCTGCTACACTGCTCCAGCATCCAAGGGGAGAGAGCCACAGGCTGGAGCCTTCTGCTGGGGGCAAACGATCATCATAGTGTGTAAGAACATCGGAGTGTTTCAAGTGGAGTTCTTTCATGCGTCCCTGTAAAGTTTTATGCTTTTCCCTATAGAGGTTCAGATAACATCCCAGTTAGACAGGCCACACTGGGTGTGGTGTCTGCTATAATTAATACCTTTTATTTTATACTGATTTACTTCCAAAGTTCATATATATTTTTTTCACACCGGATCTTCATTAATACCTCTTAATACCGTTGCAGTGTGTAATTTGCTGATTTCAGTTGTTCAGTTGCACATGTACAAAGCATTGGTTTGTAAAGTTACTGATAGTGAAAATGATTTTAAAAGAAACAGGGCAGCTTCCCACAGAGCCCTCGGAAGGTCCCCACGTCACAGGGTGGGAACTACTGTGCGGGATGTTTTAGGAAGCCAAAGGAGACATTGCTTTAAAGTTTCATTTTGTTTTCCTGGTTCTTTGCTGATTCTAAGAAGTGAGTAGAGTTTATTTCACTTTTTGAATGTTTTGCTTTAATCACAAATTATTTATTCTCAAATATACAGATTTTTTAAATGTCTGTATCATAGTTAAACTTGACGGCACCTAATACAACAAATAATGATGGTTTCGGCTTTCCCCAGTTGATTTTTTGCTCTTGCCTTGGTATACTGGCTACACCTTCCTTAAAATTCTGAATCCATTCCAAATATGGGGGGGAAATCTTTAAAAATGGCATAGATACCAGATTAAAGTTAGAAGTTTTCAAAGCATGAATCAGTGTTTATTTGAACAAATGCATGTACTGAGATAGTTTTTCCCTTTCATTCTGTTGAAGTGGAGAGGAATGAGCTTAGTTAACTGCGTTAAGGACAGGTGCCATTTCATATGCTATCAGAGGGGCTTATGTGACTAGGCCAAGTCCTTGGCCACGGCCCACACAGCCCGTTCTTTGCTCTTACAACGTGCAGAGTGTCCCCCGTGGGACTGTGCAGTGCTGTGACGGGTTTTTTTAAGCACAAACACATTTATTTACTAACCGAGAAGACGATTCGACTTAAAGCAACACTTTGAAACAGCTGCACGTGAACTGTGTGTGGCGGAAAGAAATGAACACAGGAGTGGGGAAACAACAAGGAAGCGGTATGGGGATCTGCTCATTGAACTGAGCTTGTTCATTCTTATAACTAATTCCTTTCCAAAGCAAAGATGGAATTTTTTATTCTACTTTTTCATAGATCCGAGTGCAGGTGACATTGTTCATAACACATTCCACCACTAATTTCCCATCTTCCAACTTTCTGGTGATTGTGCTCTCCTTCCCATCCCACCCCTGGCGCTGAACCAAGGCACCATCGGTAAAGTTGCAGACACTGAGTTTTTCTGCCATCAGCTGTAGTTTCTTCAAACTTTTCTCCCAGGTTACAGGAGAATTGTGTTGTTTTCAAGGTGCTTTCGGTTTTCACGGTGAGGGCTTTGCCAGTCTGGCTTGGCCATTGCACCCATTTTCCGCAGAGCCATTCCCACTCCCAGTTCCTTCATGTACTCGTCAAAGCCTTTGCTGTCTACCAGGCGCCATCTTCCTACCAGCTGCTGAACGGTGGCCGTGGTGGGCGCTGAGCGGAGGGCGTGCAGAGAAGGCAAACGAGGGTTGGGCGCGGCGGGAGAGCGCAGCGTGCCCGGGCACTCATTTTATAAAGGCCTCTCTGTTAGAAATGCTGGGCACCAGATTGAGTGCACAGTGCTTCCTGCTGCTTGCTTCTAGAATGTTCTTTGTCTCAAGGTCCAGAAGAGAGGAAGGCCTGGTTTTGGGTAGGGCCAGGCGAGGGGCCGTTCTGAGACAGGTGACCTCACCTCTGATGTAGCCATGCTGTGGAATGAGCACCAGGAGGTCGGGTGCTTGTGTGAGTTTTGGGTCCTGGGCCTGCTTGCTGCTGGGCTGGTTGAGATCTTGAGGCAGGCAAGTGGGCTCATTTTGTTGTTGTTGGTGGTGGGTTTTGTGTTGCTTTTTGCCTCCAGAAGCCTTTGTGTGTGGGTTAAGCTGGCATGGGTTCCCTCCCTCCCTCCCTCCCTCCCTGGCCGGTCCTCCCCGGCCCCACCCACCTCTATTCTGACTGCAGGACTGCAGGTCAGGATGGTATATTCGAGAGTGTTCCAGTGCCTTGAGATCCAGGGATTTGATGTCAGTGGTAGGAACATCAGCGAGGAAGACGCAATCTTAGGTCCGTTAAGCAGAAGTTTGTGAGCATAGAGAGCATTGGGAAATGGCCCACGCTTGCCAAAGGCGGGACTGTGTAGAGGCTCTAGGAAGCTGAAGTCACCCTCCTGCAGTTTATTTCTGCTCCCAGCAAAATGGAGTCTTTCCTGGGCCAGCATTGTTCCCAGCCTGTCTCCAGAGCTCCCTGTCTAGATGTCACCCAGACTACACCCTGGCTGCTGTCTTGACTTCTCCCACAGTCAACTTTGTCACTGCAGGTGGATAGATTGTGTTTTTGTCTGCATAGGGAATATGTTCATCCCTGCTGCCTTCCTGGGTTGGCCTTTGGTCTCTTGGTGTTAGGATGGGAAACAGAAATCGCTCCAGTTATTCTTAAACAGGAATTACTTTTTACAAAAGTAAAGCATATAGGCATTGAGAAATCTTGGGGAGCAGACTCTAACATGGGGTGCAGGAACTTGGAGAACAGCTCAGCATCTAGTCGGTGAGGGGGCAGATACTCCGCTGCCTTCTTTAGAATGGCTCTGGGACCCAGCAGCTGGCCATGCAGGCATCCGGACCCAGCCCGGGACGTCCTGCCTCTGTGGGCGTGGGCACGAACTGGGGTGAGGCCTATGTGGTGCTTCCTACTCACGCAGTGAGGCCTGTGGTTTGGGAGATGAAGAGAGTGGGATGGAGAGTTCTGAAAAGTCTGGTTAGTCAAGTTCGTGTGAATTTTCATCTTGGTCCTCAGGTACCAGGATGCTGTGCTGCTCCTGCAAGTGGAGGCCCAGCCCTTGGTCCTAGCCATGCAAGGTCCTGTGCTTCACATGGCCCTGCCCCTGGATTTGGGTCTCCTGCAGTCTTCACAGCAGTACACTGAAGGGGTGGTCCCGTCGCCTGCGTGGTTGGGGCATTTGGCACTGATGGTGCTTCATGGTTGGCAGCACCAGGCTGTGCAGAGATGCTGCCAGACTCAGTCCTAGACTCATGCCTGGGATAGCCCAGCAGAGAGTGCCTGGGAAGGCTGGAGGCCAAGGCTGGACTGTGCGCAGCCCCAGGGACCTACCTGCCTTCCAACAGAGGGGTCAGTGGGGTGAAGCAGGAACACTCGTTTTGTTGTTAAAGAATTGTTTTCCGTAGAATGTTTCCTGTCGCACTAATTGCTTCTTTTCTTTTTTCCCTCCTCCTCCTCCTCTCTTAGATTGTTGATGGTGAGTGCCTTCCTCATTCTCCTGATTTGAGTAGAGACAGACCTCCCTGAACGATCTGGAGCAGAAGCTGGGAGACCTTCAGGAGGGCTGCTCTCCACTGCTAAGGGCTACACTGTAGCCTGGCTCGGGGCCTGCAGGCATTGTCCACAGCTCAGACCCCTCAGTGGGAGGGATGGCGGGGCCTTCTGGGTCTCATGGAGTATAGTAGAAGTTTCTTTTTGAAGATCTGGATGGCTTTTTGCCATGCAAGGAGGGAGGGTCCCTGGAGGCAGAATTTGGGGGTGGGTGGCCCAGCCCCGACTGCACTCTAAACCTCAGAGAGACGGCGGCCCCGGAGGAATGCCCGGAGGCTGCACGAGGACCATGCTGACAGCTGTGTGGTGAGCAGTGACGATGAGGAGGCACCCAGGGACAGCGATGTGTATGTGACCCCACACACACCCAGAAACGCCAGGGACGAAGGCACAGCAGGACCCAGGTACGGGAGCTCCCACTTTGTTAGGGGGGCGGAAGCATAAGCAGCAGGAGAGACCCTGCTCTCAGCTCACAGTGGGAGCTAGGCAGAGAGTTCACCTCTTCCCCTCAGTGACCAGATCGGGGCTGGCCTGGGGACCCAGAGTGAACCTAGTGGAGCTTGAGGACAGATGGGCCCAGCGTGTTGGCCCATTCTCCTGGTGCCGCTGCTCCTCCCTTCTCCTGCAGCCCTGGGATGGTTGGCGTCCTGCAGGTTTGTGGGACATCTGTGCAGCAGTGCTGCCGTGTGGTGGGTGTCGAGTCTCTAGACACTGACATGGTGCCCTGTGGTTTCAGGCCTTCCGGCACTGTTAGCTGTCCAATCTGCATGGATGGGTACTCTGAGGTAAGCGGACAGCGCCTGCAGGAAGTCGGGAGGGTGCTCAGGTGGGGGGTGGGGGGGCAGATGAGGGCTCGTCACTCCCTTGGCACCTGTAATGCAGCTCTCACCTTGACTTGCCCCTCAAGGGCCTGGTTGCCATAGCCCACCTGGCCTTTGGGGGTACTGCCGCAGCCAGGGCCTGGCACACTTCTCGTTCGTGGCCCCGCACACTTGGCCACTGAGCTCAGCCCCTAACCGTGTCCATCCCTCCTGCTCACTCCCCAGGCCTAGGAATGTATAGGGAGGTTATCAGGCTCTGTGCCCAAGGTCAACTGGACGCCCTTGTATCTTTCCAGATCGTGCATAATGGACGTCTTGTTGTTTCTACGGAATGTGGCCACGTTTTCTGCAGCCAGTGCCTCCGAGATTCCCTCAGAAATTCCAACACCTGCCCGACTTGTAGGAAAAAGATCAACCACAAACGGTACCACCCCATTTATATATGAGATGCATTGTTGCTCAAGGAGACGGCCGGCCGACCAGGATTCTTCTGCAGGGTCTGGGGCTCTCCGACCTCCAGTGTGCTGAGCTCAAAAACTTACCAACCAACTCCTGAACTGCCTCCCACTCTGTTACACCCCCTCTTAGCTCTCTTTCTCTCCGGTTTGTTGTGGGGCTGGAGCTCGGCTCTCCCAGACCAGGGTCTATCTGCTGTTTGGGGTGGTCCGTGAGCCCTGGTTCCCTACTCTGGAACCTCACGTAGCGTATTCACAGTGGAGCTGAGGATGGTTCCAGTCTCTTCCTGGATGGAACCTACATGTTTGCCAAGAAGTTTCCTCTCCACACAGCGGGTGTGTCACCTGGGGACTGGCCCTAGGTGGTGAGCGAGCCGGTCCTCCTGGGCTCTTGGGGGCCACCACCTCTTGTCAGTTAATAACCAGTCAGTTTGTGCACCAGAGTTACTGAGCCACCTGTTGTCCGCCGGCTGAGGAGCCTAGCTGCAGGAGTGGTCCCAGGCCAGGCCACTGCTGCCCTGAGAAGACACACCAGCAGACTGTGTTTCCTGGGAGGTCAGAGGTCAGCTGTGGTCCCCTGTACCTCCCCCTCAGCAGGTGGGAATTTCTTCAGTTCGGCGAACCTCTGCAGGGCAGCCCGTTTCCCATGACTGAACATGTGCAATAAAGCCCGTACTTCACCTCTCTGCTGCCCAGGAGACATAGATAGTGCCCCTTAGAGGCCTGGCCATGCGTGGGACAGTGCCATCCCTGCCCTGGCTCTGTTCACCAACTGTTCTCAGGAACCTCTCCCAGGTGTCCACCTGGCACAGGAGATACAGAGTACACAGAGTACTGTGGGGCCTGCATTCAGGGTCCTGTTTGGCTCATGGTGCCTGTGGGCACTTGGGCACACACTCTGCAGGTGGTGGCATCGGCAGTGGCCTCAGCTCTCACTTTCACGCTGCTCCCCAGCTGACTTCTGCCCCCAGTTTTCAAGAACTTGGCCCCACCTGGCCTGTCTCTGAATGTCTTGGAAGCTGTTCTCTTGGCTTTTGCGCCTTGACCTGCTCTGTGGGTTTGATGGCACCTTCTCTGAACTGACTGGGCTGCCTTGGAGGGCACAGGGCAGCAGCCTTGCGGTGCCAGCTGGCCTCCACCTCCACCCTTCCTTCCTTGTTAGGCTCTAGCTTGCCAGCAACCTTCATGGTGGGGAAGGGCCCCTCGGGCCTTGAAGCAATAACTGACCTTGAGTCACCATCTGAAGGAGCGGGGGCACGGCACAGAGTTCACCTCTTGGGGGCTGAAGAGAATAGTTTGGTTCTTCGTTCTTCAGCTGTTTGACCCAGGTCACATTAGTTTGAATAAGAGTAATACTTTTCTACTTAGCGTGGAGGTGGGAGGGGCTTGCCTTCTGTCAGAGCAACATGGCAGTGTCCCCCCAGAGTGGATATGGTTAAAGTTAAGTTCCTTTCGAATTTCATGTAAATGCTTTCTTCTCACCTGTCCAAGACCACTTAGACATCCGGAGCCCATTTGACTCCTTGTCTAAAGACCTCTGGTGACTTCAATTCAGGATGAATCAATTTTTGCATAAAGACAGATGAAGTGGTGCCATTTATCGTACATTAATTTGGGGGAAGTAGAGTGTTGGTTTTCTTGCTTGGATACGCAATATAGGAAAAGGTGTCCCTGCAAATGTATCCCTCCCTCACTGTACACAGGTCAGGTGTGTCCTTTCTGCATTGACTGTCACCATGTACTCTGGTCTGTTTGGACTCCTCTGTTAGTCTTAAGATGGAAATAAATCATTAATTTGAACCAAATTTTTGTGAATGCTTGTTCTTTGGAACTATCCTTAACAATACTCTCACCCCCTGTATAGTTCTCACACATTGACTGCACTCTGTGGATTTCACCTTGGAAGTGTGATGTCCTTGTCCAGAGTCGGCCCCAAAGCCTTTTCTTGGAGCAGAGCCCACAGCCCAGCCCCTCAGGTCCAGACCAGTAAGCTTGCTGGTGGTGTCCTGCCCCTACGGTCTCAGAGACAAGTGAGCAGAGCTCACGGGCAGTGTGTACTCTGGTAGAGTGTACCATGTACACACTGGTACTCTGACTGTACGCTGGTCTAGAAACCTGACCATAGAACTCAGCCCCCGAGTGAACTAGGGCCCACGGCTATGTGAGTGCCAGATTGCTGTCCCCCACCCTACCCCACTCCGAATTCCTTCCCCAGAAACATGGAGAGCAGTGCCTGAGGAGTGGAAGTGAGAGCTTGCCAGGGCTCTTGGCTCTGCCCTTTACCACTCCACAAAAGACAGCACTGAACCACGTAGGGCTCTCTCTGGTACCAATCTCAGCTGTGGAAGTGCTTCTGTAAACTCCCCAGGCAGCCATGATGCTGTCCTTGTGCTTGGCAAGAGGTGGCGGCAACCCCAGTCAGGCCCCAGACCTGGGGACTTTCAGGTGCCGACCAGCCCACTCTTGAGTTGCAGGAGCTGGGACGGGAAGTGTGAGGTGCCCAGAAAGCCACGCCTAGTGATGGCCTGGAGGTCTCCAGAGAAAGGGGAAGGGAGGTTCTGCAAAGATGATCCAGGCCAGGGTCGGACACCTCTTGTGAGTCCTTGACATCAGGGGTCAGCTAGCTTCTGTGTCTGAATGTCCCCACTGAATCCTGGGTGGCCACCCAGGGACACAGGAGTGATTGGTGAGGCACAGAGCCGTGTCCCCATAGCCAACAGAGGAGGCAGTCCAAGAAGGCCCTTGCTATTTTTTCATTGTGGTTGAGTCAAAGTTGATAGAGAATATTAAAAAAAACATTATTTTTGTGCTTTAAACACAGTAAAGCAAGCACTGGTTGAGTTTCTGTGTATCCAATGGCCGTGCACGCATTCTCGCGTCCTTGAAGTAGTTCCTTCCCAGAAGTTGATTTGCTGCTCCATTGTTTCCTGTCTGGCCTTACAAATGGCTCTTGTCACATAAACAGTTATTTCTTATATTAATTTAAAGTGGTATCTTTTTTTAAAAGATGCTTTTGTGGCAGAGTGGTAAGGAACTGTGATGCCAACTTGAAGGTATTCAGTTCAAATCTACCAGCTGCTCATCTGGAGAAGGATAGACTGCCTCCTCCTGGGTGATGTACTGCCTCTGAAAACCCACTGGAGGGTCAGCTGTGGGTCACTTCCAACTCGACAGCACACAACATTTTTATGGTTTTATATGTTGATACCATATTTTGTTATGTGCCATCAAGTCACCTGACTCATAGTGACCCTATGTACAACAGCCATAAACTCTGTGTCAATCTTAATGTCTCTGACATACGTACTCTCATTACCATGGTCACTGAATCAATCCATCTCACGAAGGGTCTTCCTCTCCTGCGCTGTCCCTCCACCCTCCCAAATATGGTGTCCCTCTCTAAGGATTGATCCCTCCTTGCAACATGCCTGAAGTATGTCAGACAAAGTTCAGAATCCTTGCCTCCAAGGAGCAGCCTGGTTTAACACTCTCAAGGGTGAGTCTGTTCGTTCTCTTAGCAGACTGTGGTATATTCAATACTCTTCTTCAGCACCACAGTTCAGAAGCATAAATTCTATCATCCCTAGTCATTGTCCAGCTCTCTGATGCACAGCAAGTGATTGCAAAGACCATGGTCTATAACAGGCACACCTTCGTCTCTTAACTGACATCATTGTTTATAGGAAGCTAATGTTAAATATTTGAATGCTGTCAGGATGTGGAGGAGGTGAGGTACAGGCTGCACCCTGAGGCACTAAAGCAATCCTTAAGGGTTTACCAGGTTCTTGCTTTGTATTTGCTGACCTCTCCCTCCTGAGTCAAGGGGAAGGTTTTCAATAGAAAGAGCTTGGCTTGATTTGCATTGAATTCTCTTTGTGATTTACTTCCTGAATTTTCAATAAAGATACAGGGAAGCTCAGGTCAGTGCTTCAGTGGAGAACTGCTGGCCCCTTGGGACTCATTGCTATGCAATCCCTCCCCCTCAAGTCCACTGCACTGTGCAGCCTTCATTCTGGACTCCTGTCATGACAATAATACCTAATCGTATATCCCTTTTAAACAGTTATCTCCCTCATCTGTTGCAATGCAGTATATACATCATTTCTCCCCTTCTTCTGTGTCTTCCCTCAACCCCAATGTCAGTCCTGTTTTACAATAATGGCCCTATGCAATATTTGTCCTTTTGTGACTGAGATATTTCACTCAGCATAATGTCCTCTGGGTCTTCCACTTAGCATAGTATTTCATGAATTCCATGTTTGTCAGTGCTGCATAGCATTCCATTGTGTGAATATCACAGAGCTTCTCTATCCATTCATTTGTTGGTGGACACTTGGTTGTTTCTAGCTCTTTGCTACTGCAAACAAAGCTGCAATAAACATGGGTGTGCGTGGCCCCTTATTTTTATACACTCTGTTCTATCTCATTCTTGTCTGGCTGTCTCATTATTAATAATTATAAAAATACCCTCTGTCTGCAACATTCTGGTGCCCGAACCTGGGCCAAGGTGGTGGCTTCTCTCTCTCTCTTTGGAGCAGACAACAGGAACCGAAGTGGAATTTGCTCAGGGTAAGTGAAACTTGCAGGAAAATTAAAGGCAGGATCGTGACAAAATCCTGGACTGAGGCTCAATGTCAAGAAGACAAAAATTCTCACCACTGGACCAATCGGTAGCATCAGGATGGATGGCGAAGAGATTGAGATTGTTCACAGCTTCAGTTTGCTCGGCTCCAGGGTCAATACTCTTGGCACCAGTAGCCAGGAAATAAAAAGGCACATTGCCATGGGAAAGTCTGCTGTTATGGACCTCTCCAAAATACTCAAGAGCAACAGTGTCTCTCTGGAGACTAAGGTCCGCCTGATACAGGCCATGGTGTTTGCAATCACTTGTTATGCATCAGGGAGTTGGACAATGACTAGGGAGGATAGAAGGAGAATTGACGCCTTTGAGCTGTGGTGCTGGAGAAGAGTGTTGAATATACCATGGACTG